CATCAACACCCACGTAAGACACGTGGCTACCGATCAGAAGGAGTCTGTTGGATTTCACAGGAAATTCAATTGTGACCTAATCTAGAAAGAACTCAAGAAAAGAAAGTAAAAAGCAAAAGAAAAGTAGGCAGGAAAAGAAAACAGGCATAATAGGAGTATTGATTTTCTATTTGTGGTCGCTTACTATCCTACTATCCTAATATCCTGATCAATATGTATCTAATCTGTTCAGCGGAATCTACTACTATCCTATATCGTAATATCCTACTCTCCGGCGATTTCAGTCGATACGTATCTAATCTTGTCAGCGCAATCTCCTACTCTCCTACTCTCCTACTCTCCTATCGCCAGTCGCTCAGTATCCTACTATCCTACTCTCCGACTATCCTACTATCCTGATCTCCGGTGTCGCGAACTATGAACGCGGCCTTAACGGCAACACCATCAGAAATTTTATTTTCGTCGAAACTTCGCCTGTAAGGCTAATTCAATGGCTCCATCTTTCTCGCTGACGCTCTTCTGGCGCCCTGGCTATGTTCACGGAATTCTTTTAAACTTGGGTACAAAGAGTTTTTTGGTGCCCTCAGCGCGAAAGTAGCTTTCGTTTCGGCGCCAAAACTTTTTGACGCCTTTCTCCTCTGGACCCTTCCACTGGTTATTGCGCTATAATTCTGAAGGACGCGGGGATTCAAGGGTGAGGTTCGTCAGGGCAGGAAGCGACTCTTCAGCCTTCCGGAGCGCGAGAGTTTTTCGCTGCGGGATCCCTAGTTCTACCCCCGATGAGGAGTGGACTTGGGGTTCTTGCCGCAAAGAAAGTTTCGCTAGCAAAAGAGTGCAAAATTCTCTTTCTATACTAGGCAACCACACCGGAGTTCAAGGTTGGGATGCATTCGCTGCTAGGCGGTAATTGAAGTGTTTGGGATCACAGGCTCATCTACCCTCAATCGCTCCCCTCCCGTTCCACTTTATGCTTACAATTGGTCCAAAGCGCTTCATCGTTGAATTCGCAGTCGAGCAGGAAATGGGCATTCAAGGGCTCTAGTGCCAGAAAAAAACGGTATATTTTATTCAGGACACCAAACAACACCTATGTGAACCAAGTTTACTTGAGTTTGGGGAAAAGTCGTGGCTCAAGGTGAAAGCCATTTTCGTAATCAGGGCACCGAATAACTCCCATAGGCAAATTGTTGACAAAACTGAAAGTCGAGTCTTGCATTCGTAACTCTTGAATTATGCCAATGTATTTAAATAGGTCTTTTCTACATCGTAAGGTACTTATTGTGACAGTGTTGTTGGTACTGCTTTAAAAGGTACAATTCAGTGTTCTGTTCGAGAATTTTTCGTTACAGGCGCAAGCGATACTGCAGACCAGTCAGTAATCTCACTCGCGGATTCGGCTAGCAATTTCGACGAGCATGTTGGCGACGAAGTTTGACGAAGTTGAAACGGTGGAAACCGCGAATGGTGAAGCAGCTGACTTGCAGGTACTTTGCTACAGAGTTAAATCGGTTTTTCTCATGTTTTCTCTTTTAAGTAGCTATACTAGAAATCGCACACTGATCGCATGATTTTCTCGGCATGCTGTTAGAGGCGAACGTAAGTTGAAGAGACGTCTGCTAAATTCCTGAAACGGAAAACTTGTGAAAACGTTCACTGTAGAACGCTTTTACAACTTTTATTTCGACTTTTCGCATAAATTATAGACTGCCCTCCACCAATTTAGGTATCCTACTCGATTAGTCTTTCATGTGAACTGTGTTTTAGCACGAAGCAAACACAGGATTTTTTTGTTATTGCTTTAGAGCCGAATATTCAATGGGTGGATGTTTGATCGTAAACGTCCATTGAACATACAACTTCCGCAAGACACAGGTAAGATTTCTTCTTCTTCCTAGGCAATAGCCCTTAATATTCTTCGATTCAGTTACCGTCTTGAAATATCCGAGAAATCTGCCAATTCCACCCTGTCCCGATGGGATCGATCCATCTAGCTGGGCTAAAGCTTTCGAAGAGGCTTCGGTTTATTTGATCGGAACTGCCCATTTCAGGTGTTTTTTTAAAAGCTTCCTCGAATTCTCGAATCGTAGTAATATATTTGTTAAATTTGCAGCAAAGAATCTCAAGAAGATGTCATCAAGACTATCGCAATCACGCAGCCTGATTTGGTCATGGTAGAGCTGTGCCCGAGCAGGATTTCGATTCTGTCAATGGATGAACA